TGCCCGCGCACCGCTCCGTCTTGCGGGCGGCGGAGCCCGCCGGTCCCGCAGCCTGGCCCGCGGGAATCCTGCCCTTTGCGCAGCAACGAGACACGCACCGGCGGACACGCACAGCACCCACACAAAGGACACGAGCACTTCCCGGCGTTTCCAAGATCCAAGCGTTTGCTGCTTGGAGGCTGGAAACGTCGCCGCTCTCACGCAGTGAGACTGCAGCCATTTCACACTGTTTATGGTTTTAAAGATCGGTCCTATATAAACCCCTGCTCTTCCCCAGACAAAGGAAGGGAAGGAGGCACCGCCGGGCCGGGCTTGCCTGGTCCCCGGCAAATCGAAGATGCCTGAAGTACTTTTGGAAAACTAGTGATGCATGTGGCGGTTCCTACCGGGCGGGGAGGGGGCCGGGCCGGGCCGGGTGGGTTCGGTTTGCCTCAGAAGAGCGGCAAGCAAAGTTCGGGCCCGGGAAGGCAGCCGAGAGGCGCCGGAAGGCAGGGCTGAGGGGGCGAAGCAGAAAGGCAGCTCGCGCGAACGGCAAACCTCAGTTTCCCGCGGGGAGTTGTCGCTGCTTTCGAGGAAAAGAGAGGAGAGGAGGGAGGAAAGAAGCGGAAGGAGGGAGAGAAGGGGAGGGAGGAGAGCTCCGAGGAAACTTTGGGAGAAAGAGGACGGCGGAGTCCGTGCGGGCGGCCCGGGTCAGTGCACCGCCACGGAGTGCAGGGCGGGCGCCGGGCTGGTGAGAGTCTCGCTGGGGGTGGCCGGGCTGCTTTGGCTGGTGGCCGTCTGCGAGGACGTGGGGCTGAGGGAGGGCGGCGAGTTCGAGAGGATGGTGGGGATGGGCGCGGGCAGGGCGGGCAGGGCCGGCACCGCGGCGGGGGTTGGCTTGATGGGGACGGGGATCGCCGGCAAAGTCTGCCCCCCATGGCAGAGCGGCTTAATGGGCACGCCGTAGGCGCCGTACTCGCTGCTGGCCATGGAGATGGGGGTGGCGGTGTCGATCATGCCGGAGCTGTACATGTGGGGCCAGCCCGTGCCAATGGAGCTGCCCACCGTAGTCAACTGGTTGGGGAGGGGGTAGGCGGCCGGCATGGGCTGCATCGTGGAAAAGGCGAGGCCCCCGGGCATCTTGTACTCTCTGGCGATGATGTTCTCGATGGCGAAGGGGTGCTTGAAGCTGGAGGGCTGGGACACGCCGAGGTTGTACGTGGACATCTGGGGCAAGTGGGTGCCGGTGGCCGCCAGGGCGCTGAGCCGCCGCTTCGCCTGCTGCTGCAGGTACTGCGCCGCGTCCGCCGGCTTGCTGGGGGGCCGGGGGGCCCGCCTGT